GATACAAATTTCTGACGAGAGGTGAGAGCCACGAAACAGTGCGTGTGCTTCTAGAGCAATTTTATCCAGTCGCTCATATGCTACTTATGTCCAAATAAAGAAGTCTAATGAAGAGGAAATACCGAAAAACTTTCAAAACTCTCTCCGGAATCTGTAGGATAGACCATTTTGTTAGACTGCCCGTGCCATAATTAATATCATGTTATCATCAAACTTAGTCAATGCAATAGTGATTTGAACCGTAAATTTTCGAATGAGTACAACAAAATCAGCATGTCTTGTGCTTGTCTTTGAGTACGTTGTGAATTCGTTGACTATACTGATAGATGCATTCTATTTTCCTGTCGAGGAATAAATTACTTTTTCATGCTATTTACTTTACTGCTTCTCTGTAGTATTTCCAGGTCTATTAAAACAAGACTTCAAAACTTTCCGTTGTGGGTTAATGATAATAAGCCGTGCATCTTTAATTTCTGCCGAGTCATTATTCACAGAACTTATTAACTGTTATATGAAGTCTGACCTTTGCCAATAAGATTTTGAACGACCCCACCCAATTTTTACATTTTGACTTACCTTCTTGTCGCTCCTACTCGATCACTCGTAACTCTTATCCTTACCTACCCACCCGAATGAACATTTATAAAAACTCCACTGTACCATATCTGGCTCGCATCTTCACCAACAAGGAACGAGTTATAAATGAATTACATCAATCTTTGATTGAATGAATCAAACTTTAGAGACATTTATTTTTTTACACAGCGCTCTATTGGCTTTGTTTAAACTTAAATATTTTCTCAGTAAACAACTTTTAACTGAAATGTAAGCATATCTCAGTTTTCAACAGCTATATAAATACAAATACAAATACTTTTATCAGTGCCAACAAACAGCTTATAACAGAGAATCATAGAACACTAACCGATTGCATGAATAATAATAATAATAATAATAAGCATCTTCGTGACCCACCCAGCAGAAATAGAACATCAAGTTGGCTGAAACAGTCTCAAATTGATACATCAAATACCCTTGATTAGATCAACAACGCCCATTAACAATATTGGAGGCGGTATCAATAATACCACTCACTATACACGGACGTAGCTGATCAAAGAACTCTAGCGGCTCTGGCCTCAAGGTAACCTGGAAGGTGAATCTGGTTGTGGTCTCTATCAGGCAATGATGAGGTCAGAAATTGTGACCAATCTCTCTTTGCCAAAGTCAACAGAACACCAGAAGTATAACCTGCGAACACCCTCCCCTCCCCGCCCCCGTGTCCCACAGCCTTCTGTTTTGTCATTTTATGAAACACTTTTTCTAACTTCATTTTCATGTACCGGTCAACCGACAATCCAACTAATTTTGCATACAAATATGTATACAACTCAGAATCAAGTTAAGAAAACCAGCATGGCTTCAGACAATTGGTTTCCTTTGTACCCACCCGTAGGAGGATCTTTTCTCCCATTTTTGACGGAAAGATTCTAATTTATCGAGCTAACACGAATGAATAAAACTTGAAAATAATGCATTTATTCGCTTTCCTTATTCCTTATTTCAATAGTATCATGGTCAAAGTTCACGACGAAACGCTTTGACATATGGGAGCAACAATTTCCCTGTTCCAGATCACAATCCACAGGTATGTACATTAGCGGTAGGTAGCAGTGGATAGCCATGGGAAACGTGGACAGCAAGAAGGAATGCGAGAAAAAAATAGAGCTGCAGTCATCGTAAAAGATGCAAATCAGGAATCGGGGTAGCAATCGCAATTGAGGTGCGAAATCGTACTGGTAATTGTCTACCGAGATCTCCCGACAGCAGGAGGTAAGACAGAAGAGGCGGTTAGTTAACTGCAAGGATTTAACAGGATTAACACGATTCTTTGCCGTGCCAATTAAGCATTTCTTTCAGCCGGTCTGTCAGGAACATTGAACTGTTGTTCAGAAACCTCATTAGTTGGTAATTCACTGCAAGATATCGGATTTTATTGGTGCTCTCCCGAGGAGTTCACATAGGCGATCAGTGGAGTCTCTTAAATGAATTTGCTGAGTAACCGTCGCATCAGTCAGTTAAGTCAAAGTTAAAGTTTTATTATGGGAATAACTTACAAGCTGGTGCTTCTCTTGCCCCATAGGATATTTACACAGATGAATCATTACACATCGAAAAAGGAGTCATAAAGAGTTCCGGGTAGGAGATAATACAGAATGTAGGCTACAGTGAATTTCCGTTTGCTTTTAGTGGTGTACGAATGTGAGGTGTGCTAAGGTTTCGTCGAGTCTCTGCTTGAAAGATTCAATAGTGGGTGCACAAACGGTATGAGATGGAAGGGCGTTCTAAGATCTGCATACTCTGACAGCAAAAGACTGGCACCGGCAATCTATTCGACATTTGGGAATCAATATTTTGAAATGATGTCCCCTTAGGTGTACATTGTTCGATAACATGAGCAGCGATCGACACGGATGGTTTGGGTTCTTCAGTATTTGATACGCGTTCAATAACATGAGCAGCGATCGACACGGATGGTTTGGGTTCTTCAGTATTTGATACGTCAAAATCAAGTCTCCTCGAGTTCGGCGGTACTGAGCAGAATATAGTCTCAATGATTGTACTCTCCTCATATGTCAGGTAATGCAAACCCTTGGACATATTGGTGGCCATCCTTTATGGACGCTCAAGCATCTTGCGATCACGTTCAAGCCATGGACTCCAAGCTTGGATGGCGTACTCAGTAT